TACTTTTAGGAATAGCAATGTCTTTTTCTACATGGGACTTGGGTTGTGTCTTACAAAAAAAACTAAATTAAGTTTTAAAGGAAGTATGTAGTTTTCTACTGCAAATCTAAGCAACAAGCCAGAATAATTGGCAACTGGAGAGAACATCATTGGAAAGTATGTTTCTTTCAGACAAGACTGGTGTCTTTTCCATCTCTATTTCTTCATAGTCTAGCTCAGTTAGTTCCTGGAATAGAGTCAGATTTCAATAAAGGTTAATGACTGTTGTTTTTGAAAGAAGAGAATGCTCTTAGTGTCTCTTTGCGAGCAAGTACGAGCTTTGTCCGGAAAGTATACAGCCATGGATTATGAAAAATAGAGACATTTATTGAAGAAGATACAAGAAACGCTGTACATAGAACAGTAATACCTCAGTCACCCTTCAAAGTAGGCACTTTGGGACCTCACAGAGTTCTCCCAGTCACCGTCAACCTTCCTGTTGTATTTTCCTGAATCTCAATGATGGTCTGAAATCTCTTCCTTTTCAAAGGTGATTTTAGTTTTGGGAAACGTCAGAAGTCTCAGGGCACTAAATCTGAGCTATCGGGAGACTGAGTCACCTGGGTGATTTGATGTTTTGTCAAAAAATTCTGCATAAGACATGATGCATGAGCAGGCACATTGTCGTGATGAAGCTACCAATCACCGTTGTCCATAGCTATGGCTTCCTGAATCATCCTAATAGTTTCTGTGGAGTAATATTGAAGCTGAATGCAAAATTTGATGCAGATTCGTTGCTCTACTCAGTCATTTTGAATGTGATGGCCACACAGTACACATACTCAATGGCATCTACTGCCCCCACTGACTAGTACAGTGAAGTCATCATTGTTCACACATGCACATTGTAGTCCACTCTCATTGGCTGCTAAGTTACATTGATGTCCTGCAAACCATTCTCATTATAGTAACAATGGCTAGACTTTTTCTGGGCAGACCTCATATTCCAGACCAAACTAAATTATTTACCTTAAACTGAGTTTCTCCCTTCCTCCCCAAATACTTTTCTCTGATGCTTATTTTTATAGTGTGCAATTAAAGGTTGGTGAACTGCTGTTACAGATGGTAGAATATTGGTTGAATCTCCAGACCAGAAGGAGAGCTTCACACCCTATCTTATTCTTTGGATGAAAGAATCAAGAGTTATCTTTGGATGAAAGAGTCAAGAGTTGTTTTGGAGTTTTTGCATTTAGTCTGTCACTTGATTTATTATTTGTCTGGAGTTCTTTTTGGCTGACAAAAGAAGGTAGTGTTCTGTACATGAGCTCTTTGAGTCAGGGTCTATGGTCTGTTGGTTCAGACCAACAGAACATAGTCAGGGATTGTTCTGGTAAGGTTATAAACATTGTCTCATTTAATTAACACAACAGTCTAATGACATAAATTGTTTTCAATTTAGAGTTGAAAAAATCTAAATAATACAAGGCTTCAGGATTTTGCCAAAATCATATATTTATATAGTTTACTATTGTAAAACCAGACCCTAGCACAGTACATGATACATAATAGATGTTCAATAAATAGCTGTTCTAAGGTCTGTTCTTTTTTGAATGTCTTCACTTTTTTCACTATAGAATTCCAACAACAACAGCAACAACAACAGTGCTCTTAGTGTCTCTTTGCAAGCAAGGTTTAAGATATTTTGGTGAATGCACAATGGTCTCCATGTTTGAAATATACATTATAAACACTCATCTAATTATATTTATACCCTTTTTTTGTAGGGCAGAATGGTGCTTTCTTTTCTGTCTTTTAATTTAAAAACAATTACTGAGAATGTACTAATAAAAGTGATTTAGGTATTCAAGATACAGACATAAGTTTTTGTTGCTATCATAAAAAGGCTTAAAGTTTTGTGAGGGAGAGAGACATGTGAACGTAAAATAACAATGCAATGGAGGTAAATACTATTCTTTCTCTCTCTCTCATATGTATAAATAATCAATGTCAACACTGGTGGTGTTGAGGGAGTCCCCAGTTCTGCCTCACAGAGACTGAGGTAGAGAATAAGGATCAGAGAAGGTATCTTAGAGGAAAAATATTTGAGTTGTCTCAAATGACCAATTATTGCTTATTATTCAGATAAAAGAAAGGCATCCAAGACAGTAGGATCAGCAAATACAAAGATATGTTATTTGAAAAAAAAAAATCTGCAAGGCATTTACTGTGGCTGGATGGTGATTTGCATGTCAAGTTATCACGGGAAGATGAGGATGAGGAAGTAATAATGGCATCATTTATTTCACACTTACTATACATCAAGTAGATTGCTAGGAACTTAACATAGTAATCTTCATTATTCCTGGCAACCACTCATGATTATAATTCTTATTTTAGGAATAAGGACACTATGGCCTTGGGAATTTAAGCTTTGGCTCTGTTCCAAAGTTACACAGCTAGTAAGTGACAGAGCCAGCTCTGAAATCAGGTCAGCCTGACGTCCAAGCCATTGTGCTTCACCATGATGAAACTCTACTTTCCTAAGTAAAAAATGCAGGATGGAAAGGGCTGTGTAGGCTGTGTAGGCTGTGTAGGCTGTGTTAAGAAATTTATTTTGCTTGACATGAAGAGCAATGAAAACATTTTTGAACTATTTAAGAAAAATCTCCTTTTAAGACTTGGATTATCAACATACTGGAGGTTGGGATACCAAGCAGGAAAATTTCTCATTCATAAAGATGTATCATGAAGGCCTTAACCAAAACAGTAGAGGAGGGAACAGAGATAGAGATGGATCCCGTGAATTGTTAGAAGATAAACAGTGAAAGATGTGATGATTGCTGTATCAAATGAAATAAAAAGCTGAGAGTCATTCCCAGTGTAGGGCTGTGGATACCTTGCATTGTGATGCCATTAAGAAAAGGAATGCTGGAAGAGAAATGAGTTCAAGTCAGAAGAAGGAAGACTTACTAAGGTTAATTTTAAGAATAAGGAGTTTCAGATTGCTGTAGACATCAAAGTGGAGAAGATAAACAGCCACATGGGATGGGAGCTCGTAGGGTACCTGAAGAGTCTGAGGTAGTAGTCTTTTGATTTGGGAGTCACTATTGTGAAATATAAGAATTTTAAGGGAATAATTAGTGGCAGAAGAATCATCTAAGAAACTGGAAAGGGTTATGGAAGACTTGATCCCATGAGCAGCCAGAGAGGGAGCGGGAAGAGGTGACAGGGAGGGAGGGTCTCTCATTCAAAGAGGACGATGGGAGATCAGCAAAAGAAATCCCTTTAAAAAGACAGCAAAAGAAACCTAGTTGAGGTGTACTCACAGGGCTTGTAAGTGTAGGATTTAAGGATTAAGGATTAAGTGTAGGATGTAAGGATTAAGACTGTTCAGAGTAAGTCTTCTGATTCACAGCCCTATGCTCTTTCCCTAAATCCTTTGCCTCTATAGAAACAGTAGGCAAGTGCTAAGGGAACATGTGAGGGAAAGAGGAGTGAAAACATGCATAAATAGACAGGGGCTCAGATGACCCAGCAAATACCAGTGGAATCCCTGCAGCCTCTTGTGATATCATTTGTCTGTGTTACAGCCTACCTTCCCTAGTTACTCTCTGATGTGAGGACCACACCCATTGTGCTGACCTAGACCTCTGACTGTTCTTTATGGGTATTTCTGACAGTGAGAAATACATAATGATTGCTGGTGCCTTTTCCTAAGTGATACTTTACTTTGTTAGCATGGTTATTCCATTTAAAACAAACCACTTAATAGAAAGCCTTGCTTTAGGTATATGATACTACTATCCATGCTGCACCTATTGCACATTGACATTTAAAAACTCTTTGTATACACATCTATAAATTTGTAAAGAAGGAGCAAATAAAATGCATTTGTAAATAAAAAGAGTTGTAGTATATAATTACCACCAGACTGGTACCAAACAATATTGTGCCTTCTCACCACACTTCTCCCTTAATTTCGTTTATAGCCATTTTACTACCTTTTTCCTTACTTGAAGTGAGATGGTTCTTGTCTAAGTGCCAAATCCCTCTTTCAAATTACTAACTGGGAATAATTTAAAGTAGTACATTTACCGCGAATGTTTGTAATTTAACATCATATGATTCTCTATTGGTAGCTTTCACTAACTTGAGTTACGTGGTGAAGGAAATATATTTTTTGTAGTTATTCTGTGTGATGTTTAGAAAAATTACATTATGACAATGAGCTGTTATATCTACAAATGAAGTCCATTCTGGATATATATTATATGGTCATACAAAAAAAAAAGACCTTGCCATATAAGAATCTATGGTATACAGTGTTTATTAACTTGGATCACAAATCCCTCCTTAGATTTTTTTCCCTTTTTCTCTGTAGCAAAACTACAAGACATGGTATTTACTTCATTTCATGAAAACGTAAAACATACTCAGTACCATATTCAGTTTCTTCCCCCTTTTCTGTTTGATAGACTAAATAGACAAAAATAGTCATTTTTGTTTCTGTTTTGTGTAAGTTGTAAGAAAAGTCCCATTTTGGAATGACTATTTTTCTAGCTTAATTTCTCCTTTTAATGCACTTCATTTCTATATCTCTAACATTAGTAGCCTTGACATTGGGTGTATTTTTCACTCTATGTTGTTTGAAATTTTGTTAGTAGAATCTGTCTCTGGTATCACAAATCATATACAAAGGCCACTAAGATAAGAATGGGTATAAAACTGACTTGAGGCTACCAAATGTGTTTCTCATTACCTTGGCCCCTTGACCCGTTTATTGTTTTTCCTTCCGATTATCTATGAAATAAGCACTGGATGTGTCCTCATGGTTTTGCGAATGAGAACACAAGAACATGGAGAGAAAATGCACTGCAATTGTCCAGTGGAATGATATACTTTAACTTACTGTAGATGCATAGAACCTTTGTGGGCCCACAGTGAGCAAGTTACAAGGAGTTCACAGCAACCATAAAGATGTATGACTGTTGGGAGCCATGAGGTGCCAAGCAAAGCAGAACTTAACTCTGTTGTTGAGTTATTTCCTGTTTTGAAAAGCCAGAAAGACAGTAAACGTAGTTGAAAACAGAGACACAGATTGTGGTCAAGCTCACAATAGGCCCAGTGGATGGACCGTGTCCCTGGGTTATGAGTTGTGGTGCTTCAGGAAGGATGATTGGCCTAGAAAGAAGCCACTGGATAAATTCTTCTAACTTGGTAGCACTGAGAAGAAATCTCCACTTTCCTCCATGGACAAAAGTTAGCTTGATCCATGTACTAAAGTCTGGATAAATATGAATATTTGTCTTTGCCTTTTTAAAGCTTCTTACTATATTTGGATGGTTACTTTGCTTCAGAAATTTAATTTTGGGAGAAACTGTTTTTTCCTCAAGATGATCAGTGGGATTGGAATAACTGGGCATTTTCTCTGGTTCTGCTGAAGAGATTTCAGAGTCTGTAGAAGCCAATGTGTTCTTCAAAGTTTGTGGTTGTACGAGTTTGTGAAGCAGTTCCATAACTTCTTTATTGTTACCTCTTTCCAGAACATCTAAACAATGGGTGCTGGAACAAGAATTCTGGTTTTCCAGTTCTGTTATCTTTTTCTTTAAAGTATCAATGTCTTCTTTCATAGAGAAGATGTCTTTAGTTGTTGTGCATTGTTTGTTGTCATTAACATTCATTCTCTCATGGATGGAACTGGAGAGCATCATGCTAAGCGAAATAAGCCAGGGGGCGAAAGACAAATACCATATGATCTCACCTATAAGCGGAACCTAACCAACAATGCAAAGAAGCAGGGAAAATATGACCAGCAACACTGAAAGGAAAAGAAATCAACAGAGACAAGAGGGAAGGCGGGGGCAGGGAAAGGGAAGGGAAGGGGAAAGTCAAGGAACATATAGCAAGGACTCATGGACAAAACCAAAGGGGAAGAGCTGAGGGAGGGAAGGTGGGAGGGGGCAAGGGAAAGAGGTTGGGGGGGAGGCAGAGACAAATGTATTTTAAAAGTAAATAAATTTAAAAAAAAAAGAATTAAAAAAAATTCATTCTGGTTTCTAGTGCCTCCAGATGCTTCTGATAAAAGTCAGTCTTTTTCTGGATTTTTGCTACTGCACTGACAATATCAATCATTTTCCCAAGGAGATCAATTCGGCCAGTTTTATTATCTTGGAGCATTGCTATAACATTCATCTCTTCATCAGTACTAATGTCATCTTGATCACAACCATGGAAAGTCATCATTGAATTTCTAGTTGCATCTGGTTACTGGCTCTTACATTTATGGTAAACATTTTTAAGAGATTGTCTGATCTTGGAGAGATTTGAGGTCCACATCTTCCCAGAAGCAGCTTTGACCTTTTTGGTTTGATGTTTGTACATCTTTCATAAGGAAACAAGAGGCAAGGTTTTGGAAGACTGGATGACAATCAAAGAAAGAAGCAATGTTAGAATTAAATTGTCTTCCTCTTACTATTTGTTGGATGTCTTTCCTGGTAACATTGTAGAATACCCTATGGAGAACATCAAGGGTGATAGCAGGCACTCTTAGTTGGTTAGCTTCTTCCAGGGCACTGCAATTGGAGAGCTTTTGTGAATAATGGTCAACTGCAGGGACTCCTTCGTGGTGATTATTGGCCTGATGCTGATGTCACAAAGGCTGCTGGCTTAGAATAAGTTTAAGCTTTGGTCAGAAATTCTCAAAACCTTTGGTCACACAACTGTTTTTTGCCTTATAAAAATTGAGGAACATATAACTTTTGTTTATATATGGGTTATATCAGTTGATACTCGATATTAGAAATTAAAACTAAGAAAAGCTTAGGATATTAATATAGTAAAATGAAAAATAATAAAATCATTGCATGTTAACATAAAATAATTATATTTTCCAAAAGAAGAAAAGAGTGGCATTTGTGTTTGCAAATGTTTTAAGTATCTGGATTAATAGAAGACTCCTTAATTCTGCTTCTGCATTAGAGCTATTACAAAATGTTGTTTTGGTTGAAGCAGATGAAGAGAACAGTGTTTGAGTATTGGGAAGAGGCCAAGCTCATGGTGGCAGATAAAATTTTCCAAAATTGTAATTCTAGCTTGAAAAACTTGAAATTTATTAAGCTTGTAGGTTGTTTTCCTTAAAGTGATAGGGACCCTATATCGATTTTTTTCTTTCAGGTAAAAATTATGTTCCATGAAGAAAGCAGCTAGTTTACTTTGTAACTGAAATAAACCCTTTTCCTGGAGACGACCACGACACTGTGGTGAGCAGCAGAGGGCTTTATGTGTGCTTCACATTACATCACAGATACTGAGGAGACATACTGAAAGGCTGAGATTTAATACAATTAGAAGTTTTACGTTTTCATCAAGGGCATTCTGAACTAAACTGGCTTTTTCTTACATTCTTTTTCTTTCCCTCTCTCTTGGCCCAGTTTCGTGCCACTGCCTTGGTTTGTGCTAAGTTTTACCCACCATTGCTTTTGTAATACAATCTCCCAAGAGCAAGTGTCAACATAGTGAGAGTCAAATAATGCTCCAATGTTATTTTCAAAGTTTGGTTTCATGACCCATTGTATACTACACCTCGAGAACTTCTGCCTTAAAGTTTTGAAATAATTTCATATATTTCTCATGCTTCCTCTTATAGGTTTTTTAAAAAATTAAAGTATTTGAAATTCATTCCCTTTGAAATATTAAATATTTTTTTCATTTTATATATTGAGGTAAACATTTAATTTTTTTCTTTGATTACATAAGACTGAATATTTTGGAGTTAAAATCACGTGATAATGCTGTCTCTCAAGGTGCAGTTCCATTTATTAAAAAGTATATTCCTTGTACGATCAGTACCAGTTCCAACCCTCTATGAAACCACTCTTTCTCCTATTTATGCCTAACTTCAGGGCCAGCTTTGGCCTTGGTTTTGGTACAAACTCTGCATTTAAGCCGAAGTAACTTAAGAGTTTTGGCTTATCAGTGGTATCTGGGATTTTGCTTTACTGTACTGTCTTTGAATCCCTGTTTAGAAATCGTATCCAAACTTCTTGAAAACTTTTCAAGCTCTTGCTGAGAAAAAATGTTCTCCAGGAGGCAAGCTATCAGAGCAATACCACTTGGAGCAGAAAAAGTAGCGTTCAGAGCTGCCCCATATGCCTTAGCCAAGGCTGTTCTATCCACCGGGCATTGCAGACACAGTGCTGAGGGCCTATGAAGTTTTCAAGGGTCAATAAAAATATTTGAGGGCACAAAGAAAAAAATGAGCTTAGAATGCTAAAAGAAAGTTGCAAGATTAAAACAATAAATGTTTAATTAAATATCTCCAAACAGTACCATTATATCATCTTCATTAATTGTTAAATTTAGTATTAAAGTTTCATTACCTTTGAAGGCAATTTGTAGATTAGCTATTCTTGCTTTATAAGAATTCTCAATTAATTAGAAGGATTGCTTGTAACAAATGCTCCCTGTGGGTTAATAACAGCTAAGAATTATTGGGTGCATACCAGACACTATTGTAAATATTAGCTTATTTAACTGAAGCTCAGAGAAATCGAGGAATTTTTCTTTCTGCTAAAAACTGGGCAGAATCAAATTCCAAATCCTTATGTTCTGGCTCCAGAGTTCATGTATTTTATCTCTACTGCCATACAATCATGATAAAAATATACATTTGTCAACTCAGAGATCAGCATTTCATTTTTTAAAAATATCACACTGTATAGTTGTAAAAGGCATTTTGGTTAAAATTTTATTTTTTTAGCAGTACAAAAAACTAAAGGTTTGATTGGTTATTTTATTTATCAAAGATATTGAAGCTGTTCTTGCCTTAATTGTTATAGTAGCATAATAACTGTATAAAAAAGAACAATAGACTTTAAAATTTTCAACTAAAATTATTCATGTTTCCTGATTATTTTTATAAAACAAATTAATCCAATAGGTTTGATACGAACCTAAACCTGTCTAGTTTTTAATGATTTATGTGTTAATGGTAAGAAAAGGAGCTTCAGCTTTTTGGGGGCTTGTCGGACAGTGCAAACCTATCGTGGGAGGATATAAGCCTATTTATTGATTTGGGTGAAGTTGTAAGAGCAGTCAAAAGTGAATGAAAACCAGGAAATGAGCCAACTCCCACCCTTTGGTTCCTGTTAGATATATGGAGATATTTAGAAATAAAATAACATGTAAGACTGGAACCTAATGGTGGATTTCTACGAGGAAAAATGTTCTTCAGGAGGCATGCTTTTACAGAAGTGCTATTGGGAGCCAGACGATTCAGAGTTCAAGGTGGTCCCGTTTACTAACTCTCTGCACTCTTAGTTAAGTTACTAACCTTTCACAAGACTGTAAAATAAGATTATAATAGCACCTATTTCACAGAGTGGTTTTCAGGATTAAAGTGTTCATTATCTGTAAATTCCTTTCTTCCTTTTCTCTGACCACCTCCTTCTTGCTCTTCATTCATATGAAAGTTCCAGGAAATGGTTAAGAGCTTTAAGTTTTAGTTCTACTCTCTCGCTCTGACTTTTACTCTGCCTTTGATTCTCTCTCAGGAAGGAGGCCGCTCCACCATCTATATGACCATGGCAGAAAGCAAGTACTGCTCACTCTTCCAAATACCATGCAGATAAATCATTAAGATTAAAAGAACAACAGAATGCAGCAAACAAGATCATACAAACCAATATTCTGTCTCCCGGTACAGCTACTACAGCGAATACAGTCAGCTACGGTGTCAGGCAGACTGGCATGAAATACCGTCTAGAGAGATGGCTCTAATAATATATAATATTGTTCATTTTATAATGATTGTGTTTTGAGTAAGTTAACTATAGATTAATTATGGTAGTGTCAAGATTATCTATTTAAAACTTACCCTAATTTACATCCTTTTTAATATGCTTTTTTTTTTAAGTAGGAGAGAATAGAGTTATAGTTATTCTGCTAACAATTGGACATTATTCATAACCTTTATGTTACACCTATAATCACTGTTATTCCTCATTTACCCTTAGTAGTTGTGACTATGAAAAATTTCTGACGGTCTTTCACATCCTCCACAAATCTAACGGCCAAGTTTATAAGAACCCGAGCCCTCCCACCTGAATATCACCTGTCATGTGCAGAGTGAGATAAAAGATTGAGGGAGTGGAGTGGGAGCCAAGGAAGTCTTTCAAATTTGATCAGGGCAGCTGACCCAAGGGGATAAGAATGTGCTAATCAGAGAGCTTAGATCTGGTTTTACAGAAGCCAAATACTTCTAAAGGACCCAAAAGGGAAGTCATCTTCTTATTCTCCTTTCTTTCTACCTATGAGGAATAGGAAAGAATGAGATTGAAATTAGAGCTGTTGCCCTGGACCAAAGGATGGAGAGGAAAGTGAAGACGTAATGTTATAAGGCAGAAAGAGTCCGGCAGTGGTGCCACATTATTTGCTGAAGGATGTGATGGAGCCCAGGGACACCGATAACGCAACCCGGCTAGAGACCCCGTTGGGGTGAGAGGGCCAAATTTCACTCTGTGGCCTTGACAAATGCTCATTGTAACACTTTAAAATCATATGAACCCCTGGCCAAATAAGATGAACAACTCTGAAGAAATGACGGAATGATAATTTCCTTTCACATAATACTTACTTTATCACAGTTAACTAAAATTGTGTGGTCTCTTTCTGTAATGTCCTCTATGTATTTATCACCCAGGAAAATTCTATGTATCCTTTAGGCGACATCCAGGTACTACTTTCCTTGTCTTCTCTGTTCTCCATAAACCTCCATGTAGACTTAACTGGAGCTCCTGAAGGTTCTCCGTCGCTACCTGGCAGTGATCGACATAGAACAATGACAAGATTGTTGTGTGCCGTTGTGCCAATCTGCCTTCTAGACTGTGAGGGGAGAGATTTGCTTCTCAACTCTCTATTTCCAGTGTCACAGAGCCAAACATATAGTTGGTGCTCAGTATACCTTTATTTATTGAATGATTGAGTGGATGAATGAATGGATGCACTTGGGGATGATTGTTAAGATATACATTGGGTCTCTCCTGAGCTTATTTCTATGGGTGGCTAGGAAACACACTGCTTTCTTCATAAAGGGAATCTGTGATAGCTTCTCTCAGTTCCTGAGGATCATTTAGCATTTTGGGTTAGAGATTTAATGATTGCTTCCCTAAAGGCCTGAAGCAGTTAAATGGCAAGAAAGGTAAACTGAGACAATTTATGAACTTGGACACTGCTAAGGCATGGATGAGAGAGAGAGCTCAGTCAGGACTGGTCTTAATGGCACTGATGATAGACGTGACCCAGGTACCCAGCATCCTTCCCCTGTGCTGCTTGTTGAGTCTTTCAGGCCTCTAGGGAGCCACAGGTAATCAGTGTGTTCTCTA